CGTATGAATACTCGTCAAAATGTTATAATTGTATTATCCACGCTTCCTTACTGCGAGTTAATGTATACCCTGCTTCTTTCCTTTTGCCCCTGAACATGTGTCGAACCCGCTCACAACGTCGACGACAGCATAGTACGCATTTATAGAAATTTCATGGGATTTAAATTTCGAAATCGCAGTAAGCACCTATGACCTACTATGTACGTTCATGTGGGTTTCACATGCCACTGATCTAGGTCAATGCTTCTCAGAATTTGCTTTTGCATCTTCTTCTCCTGAATGTAAAATTGAAAGAGTTGTGGGAGTTCGATAAAGTGAATACCGTATCCGAATAAAAATTCAGGTCATGGATCTATTGGAGTTTCTCGAACGCATCGCGAGGGAGAGCAGAAGTTCAATTCCTAGGATTTTTAGAGACAGAACATGTCCCTATGAAACTTTATCCGACGTCGAGTTTAAGAAGGATTACCGTTTCTCGAGGAAGGTCTTCTTTGACATATGTAAGATTGTAGCAGAGGACATGCGGAGAGAAAGCGCAAGAGAAGTTGACTTGACCGTGGCCGATCAAGTCGCCATCGGCATTCACCTTCTGGGGCGAAACGTCATGCAAAGTGACGAAGCGCGAATTACAGGATGCCATCAAACTACCGTTTCAAGGGTTCTTATGGGCTTTGTTCAAGCCCTAAACAGAAGAGCACATCAATACATCTTCTGGCCTACTGAGGAAGAAAACATTCAAATAAGGCGTTCGTTCTACAGGAAATATCGATTACCTGGAATATGCGGAATAATTGACGGCACACACTGCAGGATATTGAAACCATCCATAGCTGCTGAGGATTACGTATGCCGGAAAGGCTTCCACAGCCTGAACGTTGGGGTCATCGTGGATTACGAAGGGAGGGTGCGGTGGGCGTGTGCACGATGGCCAGGATCGGCACACGATTCGCGTGTGTTTAAGACATCTGCTTTATACGCTCAACTGAGAAGCGGCGAATGCGGAGGGGTCCTCATCGGCGATGCAGCATACGCATCAGAAACGTTTCTTCTGAAGGCGATAAATGCTCCAAAAAATGCGCATGGTAAGCGATTTCGATTGTTATGGAAATTAAGTTTGCCAGTCTGGTTTGTCTCAGAGATCCGCTACAATAACGCAATTTGTGCCGCACGAGCAAGAATAGAGTGTGCCTTTGGAGTCATAAAACGACAATTTCATATACTGCATGGCGAATGCAGGTGAAAATTTATAGAATTCTTTTTTGAGGACCCTCTAATCCATTCTATTTGAGATATTCACCAGAAAAAGCGTCGCAGATCGTGATCGCATGTTTTGTACTAAGGAATATTGCAATCGCAGCCAAAGAACCAGAAGACTACGACGAATACGAGGGGCCCGACAAACAAGATGAAGAGGTTCCATGTGAGCCTCTTCAAGAGGTCCCCGGTAGAAATGCTACTGATTTCATGGAAGATATCATAGCACGATTTTTTTGAGGTTAGACGTTTCTAAATATATATGCTTCATCTATCGCTAACCTTTATCCAGCTTTCCCTCTTCTCAACTTTGTTAGTTTGAACCTTGATGTTGATGAGCTCACAAAATTGCAGGTCCATTGCTCATTTTTCTTCAAAATTGGTGCATGCAGACACGGAGACAAATGTTCGCGTACTCACATCATTCCGACTTTTTCACAAACAGTTCTTTTGAAGAAGTGTGTCATAATCCTGTCATTGGTATGCGTCTGGCTAACATCTGCACTAAGGTATGCGTTCAGCGTAAAATTGGACCTTTTGCTTTAAAAAAAACAGCTGTTTGTTTTGAGTTTGAGTTTTCTTAGCAATAGATGACCAGTTCACAGAATTAGTTGCGATTTTCGACAAGGACGGCCCCGCTAGCCTCGTTACTTTCGGGTTTTGAGTCTTTTCGTAACTCTTAAATCTGAGTCCGCTTTCCAAAAATTCCTTCCGCTTAGAAAGATTATTGTGCGCATTCACTAATTGAGCATTTCGAAGTGATCAAGTATGGTAAATCAATGCATGCGTATGAGTATCCTCTTTTCAGTTGAAAGAGGGCAAGTTAGTACGGCAAAAGTCACCAGACCCGCCAGCTGAGAGTTATAGATCGGCAGCTGTCAGTAACTTTCTTTACAGGCATTGTTTTTTCAGAATGTTTTTTTTTTGATTTACTTCGACTTTGTAGTTCTCAGTGAACAAAATTTCAGGGCGGTTAGGATCGCAAACCCGACATTCCTAAACGCAGCACTCCATCAGCCGCCGCCGCGAACGGTAGTGGTTTAGCTCGGACGGCCAGTCACTTCAGTATCCACGCCGGCACCACCACAGAAAAGCAAGGAGGTGATAATTCAGTATTCTAGTGGTAGCTTTTCCTGATAGTTATGAATGTTCGCGATGTTTTCGTTTATTTTTTTCCTTTCAGTACTGGTTCGGGTATTGTAATCAAAAAGTTTCAAGGTCCAACGTCGGAAAGAACCTTCTCCGGTTCCATCAAGGCCGCTGAAGCGTTCATCTCGTGTCGCGCAACGTAGAGAAGAATTAACTAGTGAGTCGGAATCCAGCCCAGAAAGGCCTCCGCGGAAGGTGGCAACTAAGGCGGTCATTCCTCCCAACAAGGTTGGTTTTGTTTAGTGATTTTAGGCTTGTTTTTCTCGCAGTGATTACTATTTGTTTGAAGTCGTCCGAACGTGTTAGTGCTGTTGGTCGGCCACCCACAAAACGTGCCGCAGCTGCTATTAGCACTTCCAAGAATCGTCGCGTCATTTCAAGCGAGGACGAAAGCGATGAGGAAGAACCAATTACTGTACCGGATTTGGTGGTATTCCAATATAAAATTAGATCATTTTTATTTTTGGCTTTTTATTCTATTTTGCAATATTTTCTGAATATTCATTCGAATTTACGTTTGTGTTAATCTTTCTGTGTTAACTCACTTTCTTCACGCCATGGGGCGCGGCCGAGTTTAGGTGTCCGCGAACTGTGCAGGTTGAGCATTTTCAAAGCTATCCACACAGTACGCGGGCACCACCGATTTGTCTATGTCTATGCGACCGCGTCCGAAACTAAGAAAGTTTGGGAGCCTCCTGTGTTTATGCGGAAGTAAAAAGGCAATCATTTGTAGGC